TTCTTTGCTGACATCCTGCCTCATCATTAATTCACCCAGGACTGTATCTGTGTCCTGTCTCCCATAGACATGACACAATTTAGCATCTTCTCTATGGTATGGTTTTTATGTCTTGGGGATGGTAACCATGCTGACCCTCTGTCATGTCTTTTCCAGACTCAACATCCCCTTTTCCTCAGAGGATACCCCCTAAGCCTCCAATGATTTTCTTTGCTTTCTTGTGAAGTCTCCACTTGGTCAACCTCTTCCTTAACATTTGTTGTCCTAAACTGACACGGTGATCCATCTGAGCTGCAGTCGAGTGAAAGTATTACATAGATCTCATAGACCATAATGCAGTTCATACATTCCCAGGATGATTGCTTTTTTTTCCCAGCTCTGTGACACTGCAGACATACTCTGCACTGCACACTGTTTTCCTTAAGACATACTCTAACCCCTGATCTCCTGCAGAGCTGCCACCTGGTCATTCTCCACCCTGTATTTACCTTGAATATTTCCCTATTGAACTGCATCTGATTTTTTCAGAACCTTTTTCAAATTCAATATAAATTTTAGACTGTGCATTCCTTCTCCCTTTGATATGATTTGCCAGTTTAATAAGCGTGTACTCTTCCATCCCTTAAGCTTCCAATGAAAATAGTGGTTAACATCAGAGCCAAGATGCCAAATCCCTCTAGAGTTTCAATACATCCTTCTGTGCTGACAGTGAACCCAGATATCTAGTCTCTCTACAGCCTCTCTTGCAGGAGGTGATTTTCCTACTCAGTTCTTGACTATTCAGGTATTCAGTAAGTGCCTTTTAATTCTTCAGCTGCGAACCAAGCTCAGGGCTCTTATCTTAAACAACTGTAGGCCAATTAGTTTAGACTCCTCAACTTTTCTGTCTTTATTGATTAAATATTTATTTCCCTTTGTTTTCCTTCTTTACCATTATGTTTTTTCAGGTGTTATTTTAAGGTAACAGAGTGAATGATATGAAGGCATTTACTAGGGTAGCAAACAAGAGAGAGGAGCCCGGGGCAAATGGGGCTAAAGCTGAAATTGAAGGTCTAGTATTGAGTTTTTAAATACTCTATCAGATCAGGGAGGGTAACGAGCAGCTGGAGAAGAGCCCATGTGCTATCTGTATTTAACAACAAGCAAAAATGATACAGAGACATTTGGGCTGGTATTTTTAAAAAAGAAAAAGAAAAAAAAAAAAGAAGAAGAAGCATTTCCTTGAGAGCCAAAGTGACACAAAAGTGATAAAACTGAAACACAGAAATTACTGAATAAAAATCAAAACAGCTTATGTTGTAAACTGGGATCTCGTCAGCTGGAAACAACTGAGGTAGAGAAGTTGAGTGTGACTAACTGCGAGTCACCTGCACAGTACAGCAATGGGAGGAACCGTAGCCTTAGACTGTATTGCAGTTTTCCATGGGGACACAGGGAAGAACTAATCCTGTTGTCAAAAGTGCTCTTGAGATTGACACTTCCTCTGAAATACTGCATGGTGTTCTCATCGCTTGTGCTCAACACAAGCTGGAGCATCAGGCCATGGGAATATTTTGGCAGAACAGCCAAATAGACTGTGGTGTTTCTCAGACCACATGTCCAATCTCCTCGGAGGTGATGCTTCAGCTCCATCTCCTGGCCAAAAGCTGAGCTGCAAGTGTTCCTGAAGGATTCCTGCTCAGGAGTGTCTGAGAGTAAGCTAGGGAAGGAGATGGCCTCCGTCCTATGGAGATACTTTCCCAGATTTCAGCAATTTGTGCCTCAGGGTGCTCCAGAGCTGGAGATGGTATCTCCATAAGCAATAGTCCATTATGGAAAAATTAACGGCAGGAAAGTCCTACTGCTTTTTGAACTCATATGAACTCCTCGCATCCATGGTGCCTTGCAGTGAGGAGTTTCACAGCTTGCCTGTGTGTTGTGTTGTGCAGGGAAGTACCTCTTCTTATCTGTAATGAATTTGTCACCTGTTAATTTCATTTAATGCCTCATCTTTATACCAGAAGAGACCAGGAATGAGCATTCACTATTTCCTCCATGCCACTCATGAAGTAAAAGACTTTTATTGGTTTGTATCATTGGCTTTTCCTCCCCCTGTCATTGCTCTTCCTCTCCAAGCACTTCTGTGGGGATAGCCTGCAAAGGCATCTGGCCAAGGCCACCTCACCCACTGCTGAAGACTATGTAGTTGTCTAGGAGGACGGATTTGGGCAGCAGGGCTGTGTACTGTATCTTACCAGATATTGCCAAGGTTTATGATGACCCTGGTGTTCCTGTTTCATACCAAGGCGCAAGAGCTCAGGTCTCGCTGTTCCATGCCCCTCTGGAGGCCTAAGAACAAGCACCTGATGACACAGGGCTAGGAGGCAGCTGCAGTAATGGGTATAGTATGGCTGGCAAGGTCATATCCACCTATTGTGGAAACCTGTGTTACGGCCAGGAAGAGAGCTGCGCCTCGGCACAAGTCCAGAGCTGGCTTGCTTGGACAGCATCCTTCTGGAGAGCTTTGCAGGCCAACAAATGGACTGGAGAGGGCATCGCAGGCTATTTGGCAGAAAACGTAGCGGCTGAAGAAGTATCAGGACCAGCAGCAGCAATTCTGGCAGCAATGGTAGGCATGATACTCTTGCAGGCCGCTGAACGGAGACTGTCCACATACATAAAGGCGCAGCCCTCTCTCACAGAGCCTGCCAGCAGGACTGAAGGTGGTGCAGACACATGGATAGTGTGTGCCAGCTGTGCCATGCTATAGAAGGGTGCAAAAGGCTGTAGAGTAGGCACTGAGTCAGGGATTTGCACTACGGTGAGCAAGCACAGCACTCTTGTGTAGAAGGGGAATAGCTTTAAGCAACGTGGATGGCAACACCACCGCTCCATTTGTCCCGGGAGCCAGGCAGTTCCTCTGGGATAGATGCCTTTGGCGATATAGATAAAGGCTATGTGAAATCTTCCTTCTCTGGGCATTCAGATTGCCTCAAAGAACTTGCATAGCTTTGTGAGAGATGACTTTCCTCTGAAAAAGCCACCTTTCCTGTTATATCATATTTACCCACATGCCCATTAATTGTATTCTTTAGAAGAGTTTCTACTAATTAGTGCAGTTCATTTATGGGGCTTAATGGTCGGAAACATTAAAAAAAAATATATCACATTAACAACCTTCCACTCTCCTGCTAACAAAGGCACTTTCAAGTCTGAAATTACACATCACGGTTAGCAGCTGAGCTATTTCTTTCTTGAATTACTTTGGCGGTCTTGGCTTAATGTTACCTGGTCCTTCTTACTGTTTGTTCTGGTGATTCGTTTTCTAATCTCTTCTACAGAGATTTCAATTTGAGACTGATCCTCTGTCATGTTCTATGTAAAGGTAGGTTCAGAGCAGGTTCCCAAGCTCCTGTATAGTAAACACTGATGCAGAGGAAGTCTCTGAGCACTCCTGTTACATATGGAGCATGTGTTAGCCCCAGGGAGCTGATTAGTGTGTTTCTTATGCTTTTTGCAAAGTGTGCCCCAATCATTTGGAAGGATAGGCTTTCTGATTTTAATAGCTTCTCTTCTTCTGTCATTTAGCCATCCCAACTATTGTCTGTTTTTTCTTATATCCTTCCTTTAAGGTGTATGCATTTGCTCTGAGCCCGCAATATGGGGTTTTTGGATAGTCTTCATGCCAACCAGAAAGGCTTTTTCACTCTTTTACTTCTTCTTCATTCTTACTTAATTTCCCTATCTTGACATTAAGCAGAACAGTATTGATTTTTTTTCATTTTTCGTTGCTCTTGGGGACAGGAGGGGTGCAGAGTGTAAGTATATTTTTTCTTCAGAATAAACATAATAACTGCATACTGCCCAGGAGCAAGTCAAGAGCTGCTTTTCCTACAGTAAGTTCCCAAATATCTTTTCTGTGAAGTAAACATCGATGGCTCCCAAAACATAGTGTCAGTATCACGTCCTGAAATGACATTTACTCTATTTACTTGAAAATAATTGGAGTCTCCCATTATGACTGCTCTCCTGTAGCTTCTGTGATTTCATCATATTCTTGCCTCGTCAGTATCTTGCTTTAGCAGCTGATAATGCACCCATAATGAGATGCTTCCATCCGCAAAGGTTCTACTTTATTTGTTAATATAGTCTGTTAGTTTGGTTTGACTATAGCAAGAATAAAGAAAAAGACGATGATTGGGATGTCAGGAGCCTGGGCTGCCTACTGTGTGAAAGGAGTTTTCCTGTTTAATCTGGGAAAATGAGAACTGGGAGGAGAAATGTGGTTACTATCTGCACATAAAGAGGAGGAAGAGCTATTTAAATTACAGTTTGGCACAAAGAACAAGTGGCATTACACAGATAAGGAAAAAATGCTGACTCACAATTAGTGAAAGTTCTTCCCCCTGAGAACAATGGGTGATGGTAATATCCTTCCAGCAGGAGCAGTTGGGCAAAACCGAATTCTTTTTTAAGGTGGAACTACTGAAAGGGGTCCCAAGACATTATACTGTGAGAGCAGGGACTGGACTTGCCACACACCAAAAGCGGGTGCCACAAGAAGAGAAAAGAAGTCCAAGCATGTATTGATATTCTTGATAGAAGAAAAGGAAGGACTGAAACATGGTGCTGTGCTTTTGGCCAGGGACTGACTGCTTTTTTTACACCTTATATAAAGCTAAGGAAAACCTGCCATTAATGTTTTAAAGGTTTCTACACTCTTAAAGTTAACACGCAGGATATTTCTTGTTCATATTTTCATACAATCCATTAAATCACTGAGCTGAAAAATGCCAGTCTCTGATCTACAATTAAATGATCACTTGGGGGTTGTTTTTTAAAATTATGTAATGAGTACATCCATCTCTAAAAGTAATCTCAGACTTTTATACAGCAGAGAAGGTGTTAATTTAATGACATAATTGAGTAGCAAGAAATCATTCAAATGCTAAAATCAGTGTTAAGTATCTCCTCACTTTGTTAACAAGTGTTACGTGTACTTTTTTTTTCTCTTCTTGCAGTTTCACCTGGCTTTGCAGCCAAGTCCACACCAGCCTGGCGACCCACTTCCGTGGTCAAATTGTTGCAGACTTTGACAAGGAATTCCGGTACTTGTACGCCGAATCCAAAGCAGTGACTAACTTTTGTGTGCCAGATTCTGGAACACGCCCCTCTTCTCAGAATACCTCAAAGGATGCAGAATCCCTTTTAAAAGCTGCCCAGGTGAACGATGCTGAAACCTCAAGCCCCTCAAGCAGCCTCTCAAATGTAAGCATCAAAAGCATAAAAATGTCTCCATTTCTGAAAAACTCCACCTGCAATGTACACCAGGAAAAGCAAGATTTGAGCCCTGCTTATGTTAATAAAAAGGGCAAGGAAGACACCTCTCCAAAGCCTACTTGCTTTAAGCAACAAGGGGAACCACCAGACTCCTCTCACTGTCTTCCAAATAAATCCGCCTCAGCTGTGCAGGGCAAACCAAATCTCTGCTCCCTGCTGAGACAGGAGCAGAATTTGCAGTCCCTTTCGGAGGGTGCCAATAGCAACGGCACAAGTGAGAAGCAGAAAGGGCCCACCGCTACCTCCAGGGAATGGACAGCAGACAATTTTTATGGGATGGAAAAAAGACAGAGTCCTGGACAAGGGAAATTGGACCTGATATCTCCATACAACCAGCTAAAACGAGAGAAGAAAGCTGCAGTTCCTTGCTATGATAAACTCAGTGAGGAAATGCTGATGGAAAAGAATAGTGTGTATGGGGCTGAGAAGAGAATGACTCTTGGGCACAGTAAGCTGGATCTGATCACCAAATACAACAAGTTAAAATCTAAACAGATACACAGTCGATTCGAACTCTGACCTGGTTCTTGTGGTCCTTGAGATGTCCTTTGATCTCATTTACTAGTGGTTGTTTTTCCCTACCAATCATCATATCTGGTGCTTGAAGTCAAAATATGGGTGGCAAATTAGTCTTATTCCTATCGAAAGGTATCAATGCTATGCTGCAGTCTCCAATGTGTACAGATGACTGATTCAGATGGGATTAGCAAGTACAATTTAAATTTTCAATTACAAGATGATGGTAAGTGAGAGAAAAAGAAAAAATCCACACTGCTACTTTACCCATTTTTAAAAGGACCATTTTCCCCAAAGCTGTTTTGCTCTGATTGTAAGCTGTTTGACCACTAATGTCTTCAGGATTAACCCAGGTTTTCTTCATGTAGCCGTTTGTTGCAAACAAAACGGTCAAAAGGCAGGGCAACTTTGTTAAAAATAAAGATGTTCTGGTGGAAAGAGCTGTGTTGGGTCCCTTGACAGGAGGTGCGCACCCCGGGCTCGACCTGGTCCTCCTGTCGTTGAGCTGCCTGCACCGAGCTGTGCCATGCTGGGAGGACGTGGGTGGTGGGTGCACATGGGCAGCCTCAGCACCCTCTGGTGTCTGCACACATGTGGTGTGTGCACATGGCTGGCATCTGCTCATGCGTGGTGTGTGCACATGGGTGGTGTCTGCAAACACCTGCATGTACGCATGGGTGGTGCCTGCACATGCGTGGTGCGTGGACCTGCATGGTAGGGGCACCTGGGTGGCATCTGCACGCACATCATGTGTGCACATGGGTGACGTGTCTTGGCACATGGGTGGCATCTGCAAATGGGTGACGTACGCAGATCGGTGGTGTCAGCACAGGGGCGGTGTCTGCACACGGGTGACATTGTCCGGTGGGTGAGGTCAGCACACAGACCATGTCTGCTTGTGGGGGATGGTGTCTGCACATGGGTCATGTCTACATGTGGGTTGTATCTGCATGTGAGTTGTACCTGAACGTGGAGAGCAGCTGGACACGGTAGTGCCTAGACATGCGTGGCCTGTCTGGAAACACGGGTGGCATGTCTGCAGCTGGGTGGTGTCACACGGGTCATGCCTGGGCAGGGCCGGCATGCTCGAGCACAGCTGCTATCTGGCCGCGGCGGCGTCTCCAGCTGCGGCGGCGCGGCTGGGCACGGGGGCAGGAACGGCCCGCGACGCCGTGC